TTTATTTTCTTTAAATAATTCACTAAACCAATTTTATAATTTTAGACGGTGAGTATCTCTTATTATATTTATTTTCAAATATCTCACCGAATTAATTTAATAATATTTATTATTGCTTTAATGAATTAGATTGTAAGTATGTTCTATTATGTTTATTTTCTTAAAAATATCTCACCAATTGATTTAACGATTGTTTTATTATATTGATGCGTTAGATTGTGAGTATATTTCATTATATTTTTTAAGAAAAGAAATATATTATTAAATTATTTATTAAATTAAACCATTAGATGGTATGTATGTTTTATTGTATTTCTTTCTCAAAAATATTTCACTGATTAATTTTTATTATAATTTTATTCATCATATTAAACTATTAAAAGAGGGTGAGTGTTTTTATGATACTTGTGATTTTTAAAAAATATGCATTTAATTAATTTCATTATTATTTATTTCATCAAACAATTAGTTCGTTGGTTTACGTTTTAGCATATTTACTTTTGTCCAAACATCCCTCTAATTATTTTAAATTTGTATAAACAATTAGAAAGTGAGTATAATTTCTACTATGTTTATTGTCTTAAATGTTACTCTAATCGATTTTTTATGATTATTTATTTTATCAAACTACAGCACCAGACCCCGACTGTGAGTTAAATTTTATTACATTTACCATCGTGACAAAACATCTCTAATCGATTTTATGATTTATTTATTCTCTCAAACTATTAGAGAGTGAGTATAAGTTTTATTATTTTTCTTTAGTTTTAACAGAATTTCTCTAATAGTTTTATGTTCATTTAATTTATTAAAAAATTAGGTTGTGAGTATAAGCTTATTATATTTATTATCTTAAAAAATATAATTTTGCTAATTTTACAATCAATTTTTTTAATTAAACTACCGTGTTAGTTTATTGTAAGTATAAGTTTTGTATATTTGCTTTGTTGAAAAAATTGATCTAAAAAATTTTGATTCATTTTATTTATTATAATTTATTAGCTCGTGAGTATAAATTTATTATGTTATTCTTAAAAAACATTAATACTGTATAAATTATTTAATGACTTGTCTATTTTATCATGCAATTAGCCGGTAAGCTGAACTTTTTATCACATTACTATCTTAACAATAACATTTCTCTAATATATTTATTTTATCACGCTATTAGCCGGTAAGTTGAACTTTTTATCACATTACTATCTTAACAATAACATTTCTCTAATATATTTATTTTATCACGCTATTAGACGGTAAGTTAAATATTCATCAAATCACATTATCTTAAATAAATAATATTTCGAATCAATTTAATAATTTATCGTTTTATTAACTCATCAGTTAGTGAGTATAATTTTATTGCATAACAATTTTAACAAACCATTCCTCTAATCGATTTAATTAATTATTTTATTCCATAAACTAGACCAACGTGAGTATATGATTATAATTCAACAAAATTCTTTGATCGATTTATAATTCATTTGTTTTATTGAACCATTAGAAAAAAGTAAGTTTTATTATATTATTATCTTGACAAATATTTGTTTGATTAATATCGTTGTCTTAACAAAAAAATTTTTAATTGATTTTTTTAATTAAAAAATTAGGGCGTGAGTATAAGTTTTCATACTTTGTAATATTGATACATTCTTCTAATAGATAAATTTATTTTTTTTGTATATCAAAGTATTAGGACGTAATTATGGGTTTCGTAATATTTGTTATCTTAACAAATAATTCGATCAATTTTTTTAATTGAACCGTTAGTTCGTGAGTATAAGTTTATTACACTTGTTATATCAAAAATATTTTGCTACAATAATCGACTTTTTGTTTATTAAATTTTTAGTTTGTGTGTATAAGTCTTGAACAATTTATTTGTTACCGAAAATTTTCTTTATTGACCTCATTTTTTGTTTTATCAATTAATTAGGATCTTTGCTTTTTATTTGATTATTTATATAGAATATTAGTCATATGGTTGAGAAAACCTTATGAATTTTTTTTTATCGAATGAGTTAATACTGTATTTTCACTTATTTAAATATGTTTTATGACTAATCTCAGCTTTTTTAAAATATCATAAAATTTTAACGTTAAAATGTTCAAAATATGATTATAAATTAAACATGTTTTTGAGCGAATATATTTTTTATATGTCAAGTGACCAATTTTAATCGGAGAATCGCGAAGTAAACCTGTAATAAAAAATGACCAATTAATACGAACAATAGACAAAGATAATATGTAATTTAGAATCACTTGCCTTTAATAGCTCTAAACGTTCTATCGATTTCGAACTTTTTCTTTACTCTCTAAAAGTTTCCATCTAGATGTTTGTAAAAGTATCAAATAAAAAAGAAAATTCGGTCAAGTCAAATCCGCCTCTTTTGAGTTTTAATTGTTAAACTAAAGTGACGGTTACGCGAATTCTTCTCCCAGTTAGTGGCAGACTCGCCGTTAGCCATCACAATACATATATTTGGAATATTATTTAATAGGAAATTTTGTTTTCGTGCAAAAAAATCATTTGTTGTTTATATAAATTTACTTAACCAATGAAACTTGGTGAGACATGCATTTTTAAACGTAAAAAAAAAAATTTGTCTCAAATTTTATGCTAATTTTAACAAACTATATCATTATTTTACCTTTAATTATACAATTAATATACAGTATAAAACTATCAACTCATTATATGATATAAAATTCCTAGAACTCACAAATATAATGTTTTTCTATGGTATCTGTTTTCTAAAAAACGTTTCTCTGATCTATTTTATAATGTGTCAGAACAAAATAAACATAGATAGTTCCTTTCTTTTTTCCTGTTTCAGAATTTTTTAGAAATACTATAATAGGTAGTAGACCAATATGCATTTAGGGTAGAAATAACTATATTTATATATCTCATATATTTAATATTAAATATGTAAGTAATTATCTTTTTTTAATAAAGATCATGAGACAAGTCTCACCTTAACATAATAAAAATTATTAATCACTACATTATAATTTAAAAAAACCGAAAAATTAAAAATTAAATAAAAAGTTAAACTCGATTAATCAATTATTTTTTTAAAAAAAAAAAATGGAAAATAAAAATCAAATAAAAAATAAAAATTTTTTTAAACTAATGATATAATTAGTAATTAATTACCTCTCGGATTTATAGTAACGTTTAGATAATTAATTTATTTAAGTTTTAAGTTTAAATTACACGAAATACAGTATATTAAATAAATATTTATACATAGATATTGCAACCTTTTTGGAATCCGCAGCATTATTTTTCTAAAGCCCAGATACTTGCTTATGTATTTATATTTTAGAATCATAATGGATCGCTTATTAAATAATACTTATAAATTTCGTTGGCATAAGATAAAACTATTTGTAATATTGCCCTTAATGACATGTTTGTCGCTAACCTGAACCTGCTCTTTTGTCGCTTAATAGAGTAAGACTTTATTTAACTCTTGACGCGTGTTACGGTATGACTGTCCATTTCACTTGCTAATATCTTATTTCCCTGGAATATCTTTAGAACCTCTAATATTGCTGGTGGTATCCTTGCCAGCCTAAAAACTCTGATTCTCTTTAGCCACATTCCTTAACATTACGAGTATTTTTAAAGTATAAAGACTGTTTTGGTGAAGTGTCATTTGTTTCTAATTCGAAAGCGTATAACTTTCCAATCATCAATTATCTTCTCCATTCTGTCTCCCTATTCCATTATTTACTGAATTTGCTTCGTCATGCTCTTTTTTCTCTTTTAACGTCATTAAGTCGTTATTTTTACTATCTATAACAATGTTAACTGTGTAACTGAATCAAGCGCCTCAAGGATATATGCGTTCTAAGGATCTGTGTCTCTAGCAACGTAAGCCACAAGATCTATTATCGCGAAAAGCATAACAACAAATAGATTATCGATCAATACAGTATATGATCATATGATCATGTTATTAATCGATCGGTTACGAAATGGCGAAGAATTGATTCTCTAGTAGCCTGTAACTTGATTTCCAGCTTACTAGATTTTCTTATACCCTAAGCACAGCACTTCTAGATAATACAGTTATAAGACGAAGAAGTATGGATGATACAATAACTGTAGATTCACACAACAAAATACAAAATAGGGATGGCCGCATACACCCGTATAGTGAAGCTTCAAATAACCTCGTTCCATGGCAATAATACATGATTATATAAAAGTTTAGAAAATTAGAATAAAGTCGTGGCCATTTACACCTGCGCCTCAAGTGTTGAGAATATTAATGTATGGTCGCTAAACTAGATGGAAAGTCATAACCCACGATAATATAATAAATACATATATTGTTCGTTTAATATTTCAATAATAAAATATCGAATAAAATAATTACTGTACAGTACTTTGTTACAGTACCCAGAATATTACGGTATACTGTACCGTACATCCTACAAGCCACACAGGAAATGATAATCTACAAGCCACAAAGGAAATGATAATCTACAAGCCACAACATCCTATGGCGATGCAAGCGGACAGAAATCGTATGAAATTAAACAATCTTTTAATATAACAGTAGCACGCTTCCAATAAATGGTATTACTCCGAGCAATAATAATTACATACCAATCACAAGACCCGCATGTTTTTAAAATAATGATACCACGGTATAATAAAGTTGAAACGTGGAACTTACAGCATTCAACATGAATGTTGGTTTTTCCGAAGCCCATCTGTGTAGAATTTATAGTGACTATGTTGGCAAGTCCGCGTTTTTTAAGCCTGATCTCTAATTAGAATTTCTATTTTGGTAAATATAATATTAAAAAATCTTTTTTCCGTATTTTTATAAACCATATCGACGGTTTGATGCTTATAAAGATAGTCGACTATGGCTTTGACAATTAAAGCACGCGTTATATAAAACATAGGATAAAGCCTTTTCTATACTTTCTTTCAAAGATAAAAAAAATTTTTTTTTAGGAAGAAATCGCTAAAAATGTACGCAAAACTCTTGACTATCTTGCTTTTTGCCGCTCTATTCTCCGTAGCTATTGCAAGTCCTAACGAAAAGAAAGGTTTTAAGCATTTTTTGTTTTATTCTTGCGTTTATTTTTTGTCCTTTTCCTCAAAATTTTATTGACTTATAATAGAAACAATCATCGAATTTGATAAAAGTAAATGTTCATTAACATTTCTCTTTATCGATAAGTCTTTGCAATCTTTTCTCTAAGCAAGATTCATTAACAAATATTAATTAATTCCAATTACATCTTTAACATCTATAATATTCGTTCAAATTATAATTATCAGGAGGTACATAAAAATTTTATTATATTGCTTCCTAACATAAATTTTTAAATAATCGACTGGTTTTATAATATTTGATTATTATTTTAATAACAAATTTCTTAATTTTTTTATTGCATTAATGAATTAGGATGTAAGTATGCTCTATTATATTTATTTTTCTTAAAATGTCTTCCAGACTAATTTTTATTATTTTGATGCGTTAGATTGTGAGTAAGCTTTACGTATTATAATTTTTTTTTCTTAAAAAATATAATGTTGATTTATTTATAATTTATTTATCATATAAAACTATTAGATGGTATGTATGTTTTATTGTATTTGTGATTTTTTTCAAAACATCTATTTAATTATTAATTATTATTTATTTTGTCAAACAGTAAGTTCGTTGATTTAAGTTTTAGCATACGCATTTCGTTTGTCAAACATTTCTCTAATTACTTTAAGATTGCATAAAAACATTTTCTCTAATTGATTTTTAATTCATTTATTAGACCGTAAGTATGAATTTGGTTACACTATTATCTTAGAAACATTTCTCTGATCGATTCATTATTTATTTATTCTATTAAAATATTAGGCTGTGAGTATAATTTCTATTATGTTTGTCTTAATAAATGTTTTTATAATCAATCTGATTTATTTCTTTTTTCAACTGTCAGACCGTGAGTTAAATTTTATTAAATTTACTATCTTGAAAAACCATCTTTAATCGATTTTATGATTTATTTATTCTCTCAAACTATTAGCCCGTGAGTATAATTTTATTATGTTTGTCTTAATAAATGTTTTTATAATCAATCTGATTTTTTTCTTTTTTCAACTGTCAGACCGTGAGTTAAATTTTATTAAATTTACTATCTTGACAAACCATCTTTAATCGATTTTATGATTTATTTATTCTCTCAAACTATTAGCACGTGAGTATAAGTTGTATTATTTTTGATAATTCAACAGAATTTCTCTAATAGTTTTTAAATTCATTTAATCTTAAACAAATATTACTTTTGTCAATTTATAATTTTTTTTATTAAACTACCGTATAGCATGTAAGTATAAGTTTATTGTGTTATTACCTTAAACAAATATCATTTTATCAATTTATAATCTTTATTTTTTATTAAACTACCGTATTAGACTGTAAGTAGAAGTTTTGTATATTTGCTTTGTTGAAAATATAGATCTAAGAATTTTTATTTATTTTATTTATAAATTATTAGTACGTAAGTATAATAACGGTTTTCTTAAAAAACAATAAATTATTTATTGACTTATCTATTTTATCATGCCATTAGACGGTAAGTAGAACTTTTATCACGTTACTATCTTAGGAATAACATTTCTCTAATATATTTATTTTACCATGCTACAGTATTAGGCGGTAAGTTAAATCTTGATTAAATCGCATTATATTAACAAAATCATTTCTCGAATCGATTTGATAATTCATTTGTATATAAACTTATCAGGCTGTGAGTATAATTTTATTGTTAATGATTATAGCATAATAATTCTCTAACCGGTTTATGAATTATTTTATTCTATTAAGTTATTAGAACGTGAGTATAAGTTTTTTGTTACATTCGTTATCTCAAAATATTTCGCTATTATTGAACTTATTTTTTGTTTTATCAAACCATTAGGGTCTTAGTATTTTATTCAATTCTGTAATTAGAATATTATCCATACGGTTGAGAAAACCTTATGAAGTTTTTTTTATCGAATGGTTTATATATACAGTATATATTTCATTTATTTAAATATGTTTTATAATAATCCGATCTTTTTTAAAATATCATAAAATTCCAAAGTTAAAAAGTTCAAAGAAATTATTATTAATTAAACAACATGATTTTTTGAGTACATAATTTACATATTGTACTTATATACATAGATTAGGAGTATTATTTAATAGGATATTTGTTTTCGTGCAAAAAATCATTTATTTAAAAATTTACTTTAATCAATAAAAACTAGATGAGAATACATTTTTAAACGTAAAAATTTGTCTCAAAATTTATGATTGATTTTAACAACTACATTATTTTACCTTCAATTATACAATTAATACATAAAACAAATTAACTCATTATACATTACAAAAATCTTAGAATCTACAAAGTAGTGTTTTTAACGTTTTTATTTTATTCACTTTACTAAACTACTTAGAATTTTAAGTTTAATTTACGGTATCTGTTTTTTAAAAAACGTTCCTCTAATCTATTTTATAATTTATCTCATAAGAACATCGCTAATTGATTTTATATTTCTGTATTGCCAAGCGATTTGCAAGTGAGTATAAAGTTCTCTAATAATTTATTTACTCTATTAAACAATAAGACCGTAAGCAAGAGTTTATTGTCTTCATTGTTTAACAAAAAATTCTCAAAATAAAGTTAACTAATTTTATTAAACTATTAGCCGGTAAATATAAGCCTATAGTTGATTTGTTTCTCAAACAATTACATGGTGAGTATAAGAATAACTAGCATGTTAGCCTGGGATATGCTCCCGGATTAACGATGCTAGGTTATTTATATATTAAAATGTGAAATTATTATATTAAATTGTATTAAACAAGATCATATATTACTAAAATAGCTATACAATTCATTAGAAAGAATTGGATTTGTACAATGGATTGGCCTTCATGAAGTCCCAATTTCAATCCCATCGAGAATCTTTGGGCAGAGGTAAAAAAATCAATACTTCGCAAGCCAAAACCAAGTAATCTTATATTAATCGAAATTTGGTCATTTGGCATGTCAAATTATTGCCGAATTTTTAAATTTTTATAATTAAATTTAAGTTAAATTTATGTCATTTGATACCACTCAACATAAAATCAAATATAAATATTTATTAAACATTCATGAATAGTTTGACTATAACATTATAGCATTTGACAATATAAATACAAATATTTAATAGATAATTTAACTATAATTTAATATATTTTATATTTATAAATTTTCATAATTAAATAAGAACTCTTTTTGTTGATCCCCTTGCCAATCCAAAAAACAGATGTTCTCAAAAATATTTCTTTATTTTTGATAATAAAGTCTATACACTTTTCTTAAAAACATTATTCCCTGAAGACTGATGTCTCTCCCACTTGTTTACTTTTTCTTCTTTGAAAAACTTTGTATATTTCAATAACAAAATAAACAAAACTTTACCTATTTGATCGATGGCAAGAAAATCTTACTAGAAAGTAGAAACCTGTTAAAAAATATCCTCCACTATACTCTCCTTAGGTCTGGAACTCCAGAAAATAAAACTACTAGCGAATACATTTCCCAGGATCCATAAGAACCTTGGGTCTATTATAAGACCTTTGCTTGGGGTGGATGAATAAGCTAGTTAGGCCTACCAATAAATGCATTCCCAAGTAACATGGGAATCTTGGGTCCACTGTAAGTAAACTCCTTTGGTCCAAGCAGGTGGATAAGCTGATAGAAGTCTATCCACTCAGATGTATGAACTTTTTTCACCATTCATACATATCTGTGATAGCACTTTCAAGCATGTACAATTTTCTTGATTTTTTGGGAATTTTGCCTACTTTAGTTTAATCCTGAATTTTTTGTTACACCAGAATCACCGGTTGGTGATTGGCTGAAATTTTGGATTGGTTGATCGACATGTAAAAGAAATATAAACAAGACACGTACCCACATGTGACCTATGTCATATTACAGTATAACTGATAATACAATCAGATAAGGCGAAAGAGCAAGGTGTCAAGGTGTTCTCTTGATAAGAAGTGGTTTGAAGTCTTCACTTTCCTCTCTTGTGCTGATTTCTTTTCTCCTCAAGATCAAAGAAGGCTCTCATTAGGCTGGTGATTGGTGTTGATAGGTTTTTATTTTACTAGTGCAAACTCTTTTCCTTCCCCCTTTATCTTCTTCCTTTTTTCTTTTCGAAAAAATAAAAATTTTTTTTTTCACCTTAGGACTACAGAGATTAAGCCGGGATAACAGTTCTGATAAAGGGCTGGCTTTAAGATTTTAGAATAACAAGAAACTTTTTTCTTTAATTGAGCAACTTGTTTATCTCCCTTAATCACATCTAGAAACCATTAGTTGCTAACAGATATGTCATATTCACAATAAGTTTAACCGGTAGTATATATATAAATGACACTATATGTATCTTATAATATCTGTACTATGATAACTCAATCACAAAATTGAAACTAAAAAACTTGAGCTTTATGATCTAATTAGATAAAAAAAAATATTTATAAATTTTCATATATACTGTATATTAGCAATTAATTTTATTATTTAGAAAATAAAAATATTATAATAAGTAAAAATAGAATACGATATCTATCATGTAACTAATTGTCATGTTAATGTCTAGACGACTATAAAGATTAGGTAATAAAGGAAAGATGTGGAGGATTATAAAAAAGAATTATGTCATCTAGCTTTAGTTATACCATTATATTAATGCCTATTATTTTATGGCTAAGCCGCCATAGCCAGATGTAAAGAAAGAGAAGTATAAATAACATATAAAATATAAGAGATAGAAAAAAGTCATAGAAGTCATAGTAGTAGTAGTAAAATCAGAAAAGAAAATTAATAAATACTTAGTCAAATAAAACACATCTCAAATTATCCTTTCATTTACTTATCTTGTAATGGTTACATGGATCTCTGCTAGTGTAAGCAACAGACTTGCTGTTACACTATTACAATATTAATAAAATTCTTAATTATAATTAATAAAAGTTAATTAAAATATGATAATAAAATAATATAATTTGAATATAACAAAAAAATCACTCATATAAATTAAGTTATTCATTATTTTTTGTTTCTTCTTTCTCTTGTTCCTCTTCATCCACTTCTTTCTCTTTTTCCTTAATTGATCTTATTCTGGATGAATTTCTTTATGCTCTTTTTTTTT